CTCTAGGTGTAGGATGATAGTAGTATTAATAATCAGGTCATACCCTCAGCCTGGGTGAATCCTGTGATGATCTCATGCTGTGTGTAAGTGCTACTTGTTGTTGTTGTGTGTTATGATGAACATGAACATGGTGGTGGATATCAGATACGGCTTTGTATCCTTTTGGAAGATGGTAACAACTACTCTCACTGATATATGTGAGGCCTTAGACATTTACCTTGTCAAGTTGCCACCTAGTGCTGATATTAATGGTGATAAACATAAGTAGGAGAAGAAGAAGAGCAAACAGAACTAGATAGCCAACAACAACACCACCAATACCAGTGTACTCTTAATACTACTATTATCATATAATGAATGTATCAAGTATGAGTAGTAGTAGGTTGATAATGTTACTACTACTTGTCTATGGGTAGCCCATCTCTTGAGTTCACCATTATTGTTAGCCATCTGTCAGGGTCCTCTTCCTTCATCCGTTATGTCCACTTCTCGAACTGATAACCCAAAGTCCGTGACATCCAAATTTTGGGAGGCCCTATGTAGGCATACAGTAGGTCTACCCCCTAGCGAGGCTACCCTAGTCCCCCCACCACGACTACCACCCTTGATGCCATGTGTAGTAGCTGCAGCTGGGCTCGTTATAGAATGCTTACGTCCTATATTAATAACGGCAATTCTGTCAGCACCGTTGTTAGCCGAGACACATCAGATGAGGAGGCCATTAATGGTGTTAGCTGCTTGTGTGATAGGGGTTATGTTATGGATGAGAGTAAGGTATCGACTTGGTAGTAGGGATATACATCCTGGTATATATGGTCATTTCGAAGAAGAAGAAGGTATGGGTAAAAGGGTACAGCATACACTTCAACGAGCCCTTAAGAGGTATAAACCAACACCATATCTTTTTAATGGTCATCTACGTACCATAATACCACATGTATTAATGCATGGTACTCTACCACCACCACAAGGTCTACATCGACGTTGGTTACCTCTTGATGCTCAGTATATAGGCTTAGATATCCTCTTACCACCTGAGGGCGATACTCCTAAGGGTGTGGTAATACTACTACATGGCCTTAATGGTGGCTCTACTGAATCCTATGTTGTTGATATGTATAAGGCTTGTCAAGCACGAAGGTTTATTGCATGTTGTATGTTAGGTCGAGGATTAGCAGGAACACCCTTTACTGGTGGTCCTAAAGATACATTCTGTCCTAGTAGGATATCTGATGTTGCTACTCTTATCAATATGCTACACTCATGTTGTGGTCCGTCCTTACCTGTATATCTAGTAGGTTGGAGTTTGGGTGGAGTTGTTGCTGCTAATGTTGTGGCTAAATGCGGGTCTACATTGAAAGATGTGCTTGCTGGGTGTATTGTGGTATCGGGTGGCCTTAGAATATGGGAGATATTCGATAGTAAGTGTGCAGTAGAGTTATGGCATCCA